AAAATTCGGCAGGAAGTGGTGTACGAATGACAACGGGTCGTGTTTGTGTGATGTGCAGGAGGAAATAAGTGCGCGGTAAGTGGTTGAAACGCGAATAGTAGCGTGAACAAGACAACTTTCGAACTGGAACCGACAAACTGGAGATCCTAGGGATGTTTCCGCCGCGCACGGAAGCGCCGACAGCAGACAAGCTGGCGCTCTGTTACGCGCCCCATGTCGACATGACCACGGTTATCGAAGTCGAGGTGTGTTTTTCTATGAAACATCATTTTCAGCATTAATTTTATTTAAAATTCTAATCGTCAAATTTCAACGTTCAAATTTCCGTTTAACCCTTTCAGTGCTAAATATTACACTTGTGTCTGTAGGACACCACGATGCTGAAAATTGCAAGTGTCCATTACATGACATTATATCAAAAAATTATATGAATTCTTATGAAATTGTTATCACTCAGAGCACAATTAAATTTTGCAATCGCAAAAAAGTCAAGGGAAGAGTGATTAAGTTAATATAAAATCTAGTATTTCTGTATGTAATATTTAAAATTGAAATTATACTTTGCTCAAAATTCGATTACAGTAAAATATTTAGCAAAGAATTGGAGGAATGCTTAATTATATTCGAGGAGCCGAAGAAGTATTTAAGCAACGTCGAAACTGTGGTTCAGAAATATTTCACAAAATGTCATAAAATTCATATTACTTTAGTATTTCTTCTTCGTGTAATTTTTATTTTTTGAAACAAAAGGAAACTATTGACCTATACAGCTGGAAATCAATAATTATATTTGAGTTTATATTTATATTTTGTTAAATCTTGTTATTCTTAATATCCCATATAAACAGATATAATGATAATTAAAAGTTAATTAGATATGCGTAATATATTACTCAAATCAATATTACCTAAATTAGCATCGATCACTTCTAGATGCTTTTTCTTTATATTTCTCTACTTAAGTTGCTAATCACACCATGAAAGTCTCAAGCGAAAAATGTTGGCGTTTTCTTTCCTAGCCGTATATTCGTAATCTAGGATCTGTCGATTTCGACATTGGGCCGGCTTATTGGTTATTAATTGTCTACTTGTCGTATGTGGTAAGAGGGACGATTTCTCTCGCGTTATCAATAGCGATCTCAGCTGGAAAGTTCGGCTATGCGTCTTGTGAAACGAGAATCGGCCGCTAACAGGTTACTCACGAATCAAAATTTCACGCGTGTACACCGTCAGATCGTTTTGATCGAGCTCGCTATTAAACGATCGTCGACGTTTCCTTTTCTTTTTATTCCACCACGATCTACATGATTCTTGACTACATAAATCGCTTTCTTCGCTTCGATCAATCTAAGCCAACAGTACGTTGGCCTGGAAACGAATCCACTTCCAGAGAACGGATTTTTTACACTTTCAAAGGGCACGGTTCATAGAATAACAAGTATTTTGCTGTTACTATGAAATTAGATGATTAATTGAACAATTTATCCTTCCTGATTTATTCTTCGTTTGATTGCATCTATGTTACAGTGTATCTGGAATATTGTAAGTGTTATTAGTATCTTGTTACAGTTTTATTGTTGTATTCTGTTCCATATCTGTATTATATGCCATGGAAAATTTCTGTGAAGAAATAAATACATGTATGAATTGATAACTGCAGGTAATGGTTTAGTGATAGCTGTTATCAAATTCAATTAGTAGGTTTATTACATGAATGTAATTATTGTTACTATTCTAAACAATTAAGAGAATTCCTTACAATATAGACAATCTATTCTAAATTAGAGTATTCCTTAATGAGTTTTTATGGTATCGAAAATAACAGTATTTCCTAAGAATGTACGTCGTTAAAAGGACAAATATTTCGTACGAAATAAAGCGTACAAACGTCTGTTGCAAGGGGGTTTCGAAATAACGATTTGGAAATCGATTTGGAAAGCGACAAAGGTGAATTTTGTCTCGTTACATGCTAATATCGGGCAGATTAAGAGTCACGCGTTTAGCTAAGTGAGAGTTCCCTTCTATAACGGACCTTTCTGTTCAATTTTGGGCCGACGTCGTTAAATGCCGTTATGAGAGGCACCTTCGGTAATCGAATTCTTCTTGCTCTTGTAACATCGCCGTTTTACACCCTACGTATAATAGTTCTTTACCATGAGAACGATTTAAAAATTGAAGTAGTTATTGCTAGTAAATAATAATCAGAAAATTGGAAAAAAAAATTAATTACGAAGTTTATACGTCTGAATTTCAAATTTGTAATAAATTTCTTTTTCTAAATTAACAGTAAATTTAATTATTAAGAGGATTTTATATCTTGCTGGAGTATGAATGTTAGGATTACAAATTAGAAAACAATTTAATGATAATATACCATGTAAATTAAACTGGAAAATTAAAAATAAATTAATAAAGGTTGACAAATAAATTATTCTGTATCTCGAGAAAATTTAATCATTTCTCTAATTTAAAATGGGAAATCTGTAATATGCCATTCTTGTGGGTTTGATTGTTCTAGTATTAAACTATCTTGAATAATTGCAAATGACACAAGGCTGTATCTATAAACTATAAAAGCTTACACGAAAGGAAAAAGTGGACGTTGGTCCTTTCAAGGCTTATAAAGACGTTCGAGATCGTATCACGAGAAGGGAAACCTAATGACTAGCACGAGTATAGTGTCGATACAAACCTCTTCTGTTGATATTCAGATAAATCATCGTCTGATAAAATCTATTTGAATAATACCGTACACCATTCATCAGATAAACTAAATCAAATTCCACTTGTATAAAAATGACTTCAAGTTTTACAAAAAATTTGCAAAATTTGATAATAATTATGATTGATTCTACCCTTTATTCATTTTTATTTTCATTATTAAACACACTGTTCTACATTGAAAATTAGATGCAAGGGAAATATTATTTAATTTTATGATGTCTTTAATGAATAATTAAGGAGAAGTTTTCGATACATTCGTTGATCCACAGTAATTATATGACGTTTTAATGAAATTGGATGGTACATCATGTTAGTTGCTTTTCAAACATTAAATTTACTCTTTGATCATTGGCTAGTATTTCACTATTGAAATTGGATTAAAAGCAAGCAACTTTTAATAATAGTCTAGTAACAATGCTTCCTTTCTCCTCGTTTCTACCAATTATAACAACCGAGAGCTCTATTTGCGCGTATAATTCAGATTTTCAAGTTGAAATATGCTTAATCATATCTGAGCAATTTGCTTTGGTGATCTTGCAATTTACGAATGATATTTCATACAATCAACGGTTCAATAAGACTCCAATATAACTAGTGCTTTCAGCAGAGACAGTTGTCTAAATTTGATGCTACTATAAAGCAACTAATAAACTAGATTTTTATTTAAATCAGAAAAGAAAAATGATAAGTACTGTATCTGAAGTGGTTGTGAGTTAATAAACCTTCATTGCATTATGCAGCAAATTTGACCAAAATTACAAACTAACATTCATCCTACCCTTTTCACAAATACATTTACCTTTATTTTACTTTACTTACTACCAGCCAGAAGAAAAACTATAATCTCTAAGAAAGATTAAAATACGATTATTCAGCAGTCTCTGTACTTATCATTTCTTATCAGTTCCTCTCAACTGCAAACAATAAGCCTTCGTAGTATCTAGGTTTAGTGGAGTTTTCTTGACAAAGAAACATTCTACCCGTAAGCTGTTTGCATTACGTTGCTCGCTATAAGATCTGCATAACATTTATCTGCATTTATGTTCATCACCTTCCTGGCGAGCCAGCGATCAGTCCCGTATATTCCATCGTTTATAGTAATGGTAGACCTCCAGCATGGCACGATTTTTTTTCCCACCAACACTACACATTGATCACCGCAATTACCAGTAATTTTTTAATAGCGGCGAAAGTTGCGTCGAACGTTGCCCCATATGCGTATCGACAACTGCGTATTCTTGTTTATTATGGTTATTAATTTTTATTTTTCCTGTAAGCCGTTTCGATGTGTGAGGCTGAATACAAACTGAATTGTAGCAGAAACTGACTGTTAATAACGGGGATTTTATATTATGCAAGAGAGAAACTTATATCCATGGCTTATTCGATGAAGGGATATTGATTGGGATAGTTAATTTTTAAAACTGTACTTAATTTAATATGTCAATCGGCACGGCGGAAATTGACATTTTTAAGACATATTGCAACTCTAATTTATTATAGAAATAAGAATATCTTATTTATAAAATTTAAATCTGAACCTTTTAATTTGTTATTTTCAAATAATATTTTGAAAGAATATCTTTTCAAAATTTCTTTTTTTATATTCATATATCGACAGTAAAAAGTTATTTCACCGATGAAAGTAGGTTAACTGTATTCGGATTTCCATAGGAAAAAGCTTTTCCCTGCCAGCAAATGGTTATACATATGCATATGGAACATTATACGTTAACTAATTCAGTCGTTTTGAATATAAATGTACTACAAGAATGCACTGTCTAAAAAAAAGCTCGGCAGCACCTAATAATTAAAGGAACGTTATTCATTACATAGATCGTTTTTCTCCGACATGATTCGATGTCGCTTAAAAAAATATTAACAAAAGTTATAAAAGTGTTTTACAAAAAATAAAGTGCATTACGGGTCAATTAATATGTTTGTATCATCGTTTTTCTAATGCCACAAATAAAATAAATATTCGGACTATTTGAAGTAATGATATGTGCCATAACTATAGAAACTTTTACATAGAGTTACATTTTCAAAGTGAAAATTTTTGTCAAAAAATTTAAATATTAAGCCTTGATTTTCCTTTATAAAGTTTTCTCAAAAGTAATTATTTACTTAATCTTTCAACTGGGGACTAGTTTACTAGAATGTACTTTTGGTAAGTCAAAACCCCGGTTAAAAGGTTAAGGATTGATGAAAAGTTACCGAAGAAATAAATATATCTAGGAAACAGCCTACTAACCGATATCCATTTTGATTTCCAGGACCGTTTAACTGGTCACGGGGGTATTTCCTCGCTGGGCGGTGGAAATTCCTCGCCGTATTCCGGCGCCCATCACCACGGTCACAGAGGCAATGGGAACGGTAGCGGGATGCCCCATCATGGGGGTGCATCCTTGCCAACCGCCTCCGACTTTCAACCACCGTACTTTCCACCCCCTTTTCCATCGCACCACCATGCGCCGGCGAGTCCTCAACATCCGGGACTCGGGCAACCGCAACATCTCGATTACCTCGTCGGCGATCCTTACACGCAGACGCTCAACACGTTACATCAACATCACTATAATCACCTGAGCGCCGCCGTCACGGCTGGCCAAAGGAGCGGAGATCTTAGGAGAGACGCCGAGGGTATCCATGTGGTGAGTAATTGTTTCGATGAATTATTATTTAACACGTTCGATAACGACGCTATTTATCATATGCAGTCGTTGCAATAGATCTTACGAAGAAATTGATACCATAACTCTTTGGTCAGAAAGATGTCGGAAATGTAATTAATATTGGTTTAGGGTTCGAATGAAAAATAATGGAAGTCTAAATATGAAGTAGAAAATTAAATTGAAGTTAGGGGCCTCTCCATGGTCCGCTGCCCAAAGTTTAACACGTTGACTGCCAGGGTAGAAATGGATGTGTGTAACCAGACGTATTAAAGGACTAATTATTAAGTCCACGATCAGTAGTGTGCTTTAAATTTTTAAATTTAAAACTTTAATTTGTTGTTTTTCCATTTTCTTCTCTTTTCTTAATAGGGTGACTTAGTCAGTGAATGAACGGTTAAGCTTTCCTTCAGTTTCAAACAAGAATACAAATTACATGAAGTCCCCATTTATTAATCGAACAAGAATAAAAATTAAAAAAGTTCATTCACTAGTTAAGTCATTTTAATTTAATTACAAAAATTTTAAGGCGTCGTGACAATGTGTTAATAATCGCATATGCAAGGAATAGAAACACAGTATTGTTTATAACATTCAAATTAACGCTTCCATGGTATAACTTCTACCGTCCCAAGGGAATAATGCTAGCGACCTCCGGGACTCGTGTCTGGTCGGCATATCTTTGCGCGTAAAATTGAAGCGCGGAGATCCGGTCACGTGCACATCCGGCTGGCTCATTAGAAAAGCGAGCTCGGCGTGTTATTTGTAACATGGGCCGCTGGCGGCTCGCAGTACGGAGAGGATGTGTAATAACGGGTGGGTATTGATCTATTAGACGTATCGCGGCCAATAAGCCCGTCCGTAACATCGGTGATTGCGATCGTTGATCCCTCGAAGAGCACGCGAGTGGACACGCGCGACATTTGCATTCGCCATGGTCCCGCGTACCTGTCCCCGTCTAATGGCAGAAATACCCGGCCAGGTATTAACGTAGCTTCGAGGAAACAAGAGACCATGAAGCTTCGACAGGCAAGAAGTACCAGCCAGCAGGAAGTCGAGGATGAACGGAACGTTTTGTTCCTGATCGGATTGATCTTTCTACTTCGCGGATGAATCGCGGTTTATCGACCGTCTCTGTCCTCTGTTACCGCGAGCTACGTTCAAATATGCGGAGGGAACCTTGCTTGAATACCTGCAACGACTTTTTGTTTGTCGAGGTGCCAGGGAATTGTTTGTTTTAGCGGGAAACGGGATTCGTTTATTCTTTTCGACGTATTTGGGGAAATATTAAACGTTAGTCGAAGTGATCCTTGACTCGAGTACAGGGCGCTGATTGTTGAGAATGAAAAAGCTTTTGCATTGCAAATTATTTCAAAATAATTAGCCTATTAATGGGCTTTTTGACAATATTAGTTATTGAAGAAAGACTAATTAATAATCTTTTAACTATTACAAATTCACATCTAACTTAGTTGAAATAATGGAAGTTAAATGTACTTCAATTAAGAGGAAATTAAAAATAAAGGTTACATCTTTAAATCTTTAGTTATTGTTAATTATAAGGTGATAGTACGTATCTATTTTATTTATAGCCAGTGAATAATGAGCTAATTGCAAATAACAGTTATCAAATTAGGATTTCTTGTATTTTCAATAGTTTTCATATTTTTGGACTTTAATATCTAAATCACCGAATACCCCTAAGAAACGTCTGAATTAAAATACTGTATATTATCTGTACACCTGTTCAAGCACACCCTAAATGAGAAGGGTTGACACCTTTGAAACGCTCATTGGGTTGATTAGAATCTTCCCAATAAATAAACGCAAACTGTTGAACTATTATCCCTTGACTTGGTATTCCCATAGAAAACCTCTGTTAAATTTCACGCTTGAGCCCAGGGTAACGTGACACCGTGTTACCACCTATTCGAGGGGCAACTTTAGACCTCTAATAACGCTTTCGGTAATAGTATTTGCGGTACACCTTACCCCAATATCTTTTATGAAAATATCACCCTAATTACGGTGTCGGGACGTGCATACACCACGCTGTGGATTATGTTTTGGGCGGTTTCCAGAGGTGTCGTGTGACGTTCCCGTAAAAAAGACTAGGTTCGGCACGAAATACGACACGAGCACGAAGAATACGTTCAGCTTCGGAACTGGGCAGAAGAGAAAAGCGGGTTTGGTTTAAAGCATCTGTCTAGGCCATATGCAGGCTCGTATTGCGAAACGTACATGTGCTGAAAATTGTATATTTTTCCTGGTTTGCCGTATGAATTTCTATTGTTTCCTGTTTTCAGTAGCATCCAATTATTTATACAGTAAGGGTTTCTGCAAGGTATCAGCACAATTTTACATGATAAACGATGCGTTTTAAAGAATATATTATAAAAGAGATTCTAACAGAAACTCGGCTTTAAAATATTTTGCCTCTTTATGAAATTGCTATATCGATTATTTCAAACGTTACAACCCCACGTACCCTATCTTTAGCTCTGCCTAAAGCACATTCTTCAAAGGAGGGTGGCAGACCTCGTTCTGAATGAAATCTTACACTGATACAATCTCCCGATTCACGAAATATCGAGCAAATCCTTCGGATGCTTTAAAACCTTATAGTTTCGCGATACTCTATTTACAGATGTGTAACTTTTTATTATTTTTATGGTATTATGCACGACTTTAAAGCAACAGTAGAGAACAATTTGTAAAGTGCTTGATTATCTCGGTTCTCTGAGACTTTGAACTTACCAGAAGACAAGATAGTTACACGTAGGACACAAAGTCTTGGGCTTCATTCCCAAACTATACGCAGTAACGGCGTCTTGCATAGTTGATCATAGTTAGGAAACTTGCTACTACGACTATGCGTCGCGACGCGTCGACTGTTACCATTAGAGGTTTCAGTTCGGTATCTTCGCCACCAATATCGAAAACGACGATGTTGGAAGTTGAAGAGGATAAATCGTTTGAAATCACTTCAGCAATATTCCAAAATTAATAATAATTATTAATAAATAGAACTTAATTTAGTAGCTCATTATTCTTTTAATACTTTGTCTGCCATTCATCATCCATATCACCAGGAATTCTTTTTTCATTTAATTAAAAATAATTATATTTAATTCCTGAAATTATGAATAATAAAAAGTTGAAAAAAGTGTTTCTTATTGAGATCACATGTCTCGATTTAATCTGATATCTTCGAAATAGACAACCCTCTCGAAGTTTCGTTCATTGCCCTCCCTCGAGTAATTTACTTATTAAATTTTCGGCTGACCTTTGGCATTCCTTTAGGGTGGATGCCAGAGACGTTTACTTTGACGGAAATATGCCAAGCGTCGTGATCCTTAAGATGGTGTTAGAGATACCTAAACGGGGTAAACGGTTTCTCATGCTTAGCTAAGTCGCTTAACATTGTATGAAAAACTTCGCTGACATAATGCTGTATCAACGTGACAAGGCAATATTTGATCGGCGTGTAATCGGTAATGATAGATCTCGGGGTGAAATGGTTAATAATCGCCATTCCAGCTGCTCCTGAGTAACATTACATCAGACTGCATCGAATCGAACAACAATAATATGATACTTTGTAATGAAACGATGGAGCAGATGAGGGTAAAATAATTATTTTACGATTTGTGAAATTGTTAAATGGTCGATTTCGAAACATTATTAGTCTTAAGCAATTTGATGACATAAAATTATTGCGAAATCCTACTTATGGTGTTATATATTGGAGTTTCAAGTTTTTACTTGGAGAAAATTTTAAAGCCATTACCCTCCAATACTTCTGTTTTATTCAAAAAATTACATCTTAAATTGATATACATAATAAATAATATAATAAAAAATATTTTCTAACGCAAAGATATGCGTACTTATTTCGTGAATCGAGGAAAGAAGAATGAAATGAAAGTAGGTTTCTGAAAAAGAGACGACAATACCAATAATCAACCAAGTGGTTCGACCGATTCCAATAGCTTTATCCTTGAAACGAGAAGCCTCGTGCTTCCTACCCCATACGTTTTATACTGAATTATAGTATCTTGTCTGAGTCCCTTCACGATCTCAAGTTTATACTCGAGAGAGTACAATCTGTGACAGCATCCCTTTGCTAAGGGGATCTTAGATTCAGAAAATCTGTGTCATTGTTAGACGTTTTTCTTACTAGAAAGAGTTAAAAACCAGAGGTTTAAAAGTTGAAAATTTAATTATTTTTTATTTTTAATAAGTGTTATCTAATATTTTAGTATCCTAATGTTCTAATCTTCTAGTATCCTAATATTCTAATATTTTAATATTCTAAGATTCTTAAATTTCGTGGACTTAGACTACCAAAAGAGCATGTCTTAGTTACACCAATGATGACACGATAGTCAACGAGACACTATTTAGAAATATTCGAAAAGACCACTCGCCTAAATTAAACACATTATAAAATACATCAGTATTGAAATTGATTCTTTAAAACGATTTTCTATTAGTAATGCATATAAAAACCCAGGAAATTCTATTTTAAAAAGCACTTTGCATTTATAATCGAGCTGACTGTTTGCCAATGTTGTTCAAAACTATTCCTCCTCTTTTTATAGATGACATAATGCTTTCTTTATTCGAACTTTTCGCTTCGCTATTAAAGAGGAACTTGTAAAGTGAGCAGCGACTTAAGTAAACTGTACTTTTCTTCATTTTAAATATGTACACATTTTTTTTTTCCAACACTAATGAAAACCCTATCCACGAGACTTCTTTATACTCTGTCAACAAAATTTATAGCGGCACTTTTTTTAGGAGTCACGAGATTCTTACGGTATATCCCCAGTGAGACGAATGTCTGAAATAAAAACTTCATTTTGATTCGTAAATAAAAATGTATTACGTACAATATATTAAATTTGTAATTAAATTCACAAATATTTGGAATATTTTGCTACAAAACTAGTCAAATTTAAAAGTAACTTATCCATCCACGCAATAAACCCTTTGTAGAAAAAAAAGTTGTACAATACTTGAGTTCGGATTAACATTACAACGGAAAAGGACCGATTGTGCAAGAGGAAACAGACAGGGCTCGTTATTGTCGATCCGGATGACTCGCCACGTTATCCGTCGCGGTCTCCATAAGCCATTTATCAGTATCGATACCACGAATACCGGTCGACGTGACTTTACCTCGCCGCAGCGTTTAACGAGAGAAAGGCGATCACATTTCATCTCATTAGTCGACTGGCATGGTTACATCAATTTATAACCAACGTGGATAGATACTAGTAGCTGGCACACCGTTAATTAGCGCCGTTTCCATTTCTTTAGTCGTGTGAAAGCCGGACATTAACCCTTTGAGGTTTGCCACTTTATTTAGACCCGCGTCATCAAGAACAAAGAAGAAAAACTAAGATAGATATATCGTTCTACAATTTGATTTCTCAAAATATTCAGAATTACAAAAATTCGCAGAAAATTAGGCGACTTGCGACCCTAATTTGGCCAGATAATTTTCCATTCGCGAGGCTGAATTGTACACTATCGATCATATCAGGTTCATTAAACAGATTCTCCTAATCGGATACGCGATGTTTCGCGAGATTCGCGATGATAAATGAACGAAGCAACCTCTACCTGTTGTATTTTTTCCCCATTAGACGACGAGCTTTTATTTAACTTGACATGGGTGCAGAAATAATTTGCCACTGTCATATGAAAGCATCTAGTCAGATATTGCAGTTGGAAAGTAGCTGAAGAAAGTAGCTTATGAATTATTACATATGAAGTTCAAGTACGCGATGACTATTAATTCGTATACACGGATTCAGTATAATATGTATACTATTAGAATGTGCTGCAATTACCCTTAGTAGCAAAACGATTAATTTATATATTTTTGTTTTATGTTATATACTTTCTTTAAAATTTAATCAAATTTAATCAGCTAAAGGAAAAAACCAGTGGTCGTTATACTGTTTGCATGTATCAAAGTATTAGAAAGGAATCGATCCATCGATGTGATATTTGTAAAGTGCCACTATGTATTGAGTATTCAGATATCGCAGCTGAAAAGTAGCTGACGAAAGTAGCTTATGAATTATTACATATATATGAAGTTTAAGCGCACGATGACTATTAATTTAAATACATGAAAACAGTATAATTTGTATACTATAAGAACTGTAATTGTCCTTAGTAGCAAAAGGGTTAATTTATATAGTTTTGTTTTCTTATATACTTTATTCAAAGTCTCAACTTTTCTCATGCATAGCTAATGCAGTTGATAGCAGAAATCTTGATATTTCCATGATTTCCATCGCTGCCCAGCCACGAAGGTATCAAGGCGATCTAGAATAGTCATAACGGAGAAAACGATTACAATAGAGCAAACAATCTGGCAAGGAAATCGGAGAAACGTGCATAGAGATTTCTTCTCTAAGCGGGAACCTCCTGGTCTCGCATAGGAAAGATATATAACAATAATGGTAAGGGCTCGTAATACAACCGTATTTGTGACACGACCGACTTGCAGTCTGGATAAAATCTCCAGTTTTTCACGTGGGATGTGATTAAGATTCCAAACGTATGTACGTCCACCTCTTGTGTATCAATTCCGAGAAGACCGTCTTCGTTCTTTTTCTTTCTATCTGCAGTTTCTTACATAAGATTCGAGTGTACAGACCGCTCGCGTGTCTATAAATCTCGACGATAATTGAAACCATACATTTTCATTGAAAACGATCGATAAATAACTACATACATTATTTGAACCTACAAATTTCGAAGGGGCTAATGTAAAAAAATTGCAACGAACAAGATCGTAAATAATATTCATTCTGTGTTTCTTATACAGTTTCATAGACCACTTACAAATTTTGATAATTATCCAACGTTTGCTAATTATAAAATTAATTTTTCCTCAGATTTCTTTTTTCAAAAGCATAAACAGGTAGTACGATTTACGTAATCACCGGTGATGCAGGATTTACAGAGTTGTTAATTGGTTTTAATAAACGGCATTAATTTCCATTTCTGCATATATATAAAACCAGTCGAATCTTTATTTATACGTAGACTCTTTGGTTAAATTAACTTGTATCGCACATTTATGGTTCATAATTCAAATGAAAATTGCAAGTAAACTGGCAATACACGATGATGTTGTAATATTATTAAGGATGTTTTATTGAGTCCTGAGAATTCGTTGTTTCTCGAGACGACAGAATGTTCTGTCTTTCTATTCCTGTGACGTTATTGCATTACGTGCTTCTGTGAGATCGTATCAATGATTCGAGCTAATCGTCAAGTCATCGAGACATCGTGATGTCCACGTGAGAACTGGGTCTCTATCAGACTCGATACTTTTTCATTTTCCTATTTCATTCCTCTTATTCTGTCACTGTAGTCACCTGTGTCGATTAAAAAGAATGCTTCGATTCAAATTAAACATTTAAATTTTTAAACTGAAAATTTTTATATAAACTCTCCCCACTGGATAAGCGTTTTCCTCTGATGAGTTAACTTGTCATCCCCAGTTAAAGGTTAATAATCAAAGTTGCTCTCTTGAGAAGAAATGCAGCAATGGAGATGTATTTTCCACTCCTAATTGCAATGTTGGAAGTGTCTTCATCCTCAGAGCATTCACTTGATCGGTCACGGCATTTAGAATGTTTTCAATTGTATGAAAATGATGACCTTTAACATGATTTGTAACATCAGACCTACCAGCATTGAATATACGTATATCTAGTTTTACTACATCCATCAATTTGACGGCACATATGAAAAAAAATAGTAGAATAATTAATAATTATTCTGTCAGTAGAAATGTCCACCTAGTGGTTATTATGCGACATCGGCAGAATCAATTTTAAATACCCATTCGCGTCTGTAAATGATTCAACTTACTGGGAAAGTAATTATACTATAATTATTCGAAATAGATAAACGTTTCCATTGAGTGATTCAGTCGCGACGAAAAGTTTTTACGATTGCAATTAACTCGACTGAAAACACAGCAAATCTGTATTGATCTGTTGATTATTAATAAGCTTTTCTTGGCGTCAATTGCTGATATTATTCAGAGCTGTTGATATTGAAACTAGTATTTTATTTTATGTCACATTCGAAGAACATACATACGTGATTGTATAACGTTTCATAACGTTAATTAACATAGTAATTAATGGAATTTATTGAATCGTGCAAATAGGTGTAAATAACTTTGTCAGCAACGAATAGTAGATTTGTGCATTTATTTTAAATGTATGTATCTCTGTAACTGTATCAATGAAACCTGAAAAAAGAAGTTTCAATTATGTTTACTAATTTAAACCATAAGAGTACACAATTAGGTAGCATTTGCAGCTGACTGAATATAGCAGAGTAGTTAAATAAAGATACAAAGAAGCAATAATAAAATTTAATGAATGGAGAAAAATAATGTTGTTTTTCTATGTTTTTCAGACGAATATGCATGCGTCCTTTCCATACGATGGTGGCCGCAGCAGTGGCGGAGGCGGTGGCGGTGGCGGTGGAGGCGGAGGCGGAGGTGGTGGTGGCGGAAGGGGCGTCGAATATGGCGCTGTTCGGCGTCCTGACGCCCTGCTGCCACCCCCAGGCCTCGACCAAACCGACCTCGTTCTCCACAGCAGCCTCGTAGACGACCCCCAGGTGAGCGACGATGTACGTAATCGCAAACGCATTTTCTCTATTACCATTCTGTTTATTGTTCCGTGTGATTCGATCACACAGTGAACCGAAAGGATTTTGATCATGCGTAGTTGTGAAATTTATGTTTGTCGTATAGATTGTTTAGAATGTCCAATTGATTCACCGACTGCTTTGTAATTTTATAACTGTAATATTAAATTTGTATTTTTATGATAACTATGATTTACAGACCTATAATACATTTATATAATTAACCCTTTGTAATTTGAACTCTTTGCATTTGTGAATCTACCTAAATGATAAAATGCCTTTAGAAATATTTGTAAATTTTGCTCACATTATTTTCGTTACAAGAATATTATATTAGAAGAAAAATTTTAAATTACAAAAATAATGCAATTAAATGTTCTAAAGCAAGGGATTAATTAGACTTTAAAACAGTTCACTTTATTTATCATTTCAATTGGTTCATTCATTTATTTTATTTATCAGATTTCAAATACTGAACATCATTTCTCTACCAATATACGTTCATATTAATATTTCATATTTCTATTTTCATTTCAGAACACAAACGTAGACGATGGAGGGTTCATGAACGACCTGCCTCTCCTGAAAAGTAAGTACCCTCTGGAATTCTACATTAAAAACAAACATACCGGTCCATTTCACAATCTAAAAAATCCATCGTTTCATCAGCTAAAGTAGTTCCATCTCTGAGATAGAGAAGTAAAAAATAATTTTCATTCAGCAAATGTATTTTGCAATATTTCCACAATACTACAGTGTTTCGTTAAACGCTCAATGAATGATATTCATGATAGCAATTCATACGAATGCACAACAAGGCTATTAAAAACACCGCCACTTTCCAGCTACAAGTTGTAACATTTATCGTGCGATTTCACATGAAATCGGTCAGCGATCGATACACGATCTCCACTTGCGATTCATTTTTTCCATGTTCAATTACAACCTGTTAAAGCCTTGCGAAGGCCATCTCCGTCTTTTTACCTTTCCGACTAGGTTTTAAAATTCAGCCACCGTTCACGAAGAAGCAGTCGATACGACGTAGAGGGAGATAAATTCTAATTAAAAGTGACAAGTTCGCGACGTGGCTACTTTATATTTCCGGTTGCACCCCTCCGACAGTTCTCGCCGCGAGATTACGTTCGCCAGTTCGCGCCTCCGTGTCGCGCGTAAAACGTGCTATTGACGATAACTAGGATTAAGAATCAGTAAAGTTTACATTTATATAACCGTAAATATTTCTTTATTTTTTAAAGAAATAATATGACATTAAATAAATAAAAAAACTTTGGAAAAAATTGAATTTTTTCTAAATTACACGGTTTTCTATCAATCATTTACTGTTCCCAACGATTCGCTGGAATAGGATAAAGACGAACAGGTGGACAACCCAATGGACGCGATTGCGCAATGGCGAACTAGTTGTCCGACAAGGAGGATGTTACCTCCGTGAAAGATCGCCACGATGCTTATGTTATAAGGAAACTTGGGCTTTGATTCACTCGATTGTACGCGAGAACGTAACGCGGCCAGCTCACGTTGCGAAAGTGTCACACACGTTTACTCGTCCCAACAGACGGATTCTTTCCTTTTGCATTGCGACGAGAAACGCAGGAATCCCGAGCTGTATGTAACTCTTTGGAGGAAGAACGTCGCGAATTGTCAGTGAATTAGGTTCGGTTTTCGATTGAAAGGGAGAGTTTGATTGCTTTCAATTATCGGTGAGAGGAGAATGATCATATCGAATTTCTTGTTACTGCTTCTTCTGAATATTTCTCGATAACATTCGTCTTTATATGCTCATTAGAAAGTTTTTCTTTTGTAATTAAGATTTCAATTCAATTCAATGTTCTTTTCTTTATTTGAAGCTTTTTTGAACTTCCAGCTTATACGATAAGTAATTTTAAATTATATGGCAAAATTTAATGACAGTTTTATATGACAAACTTATTAAATAATATTGTAAATTATGAAGAAAATTCTTTTAAAAAATTCTAACATTTAGTCGATGGTGTTAGTCTGGTTTTCAATGATACGAACGAACAACCCTCGAATTGTAATTCCTGGCTTTCCTGAACAATCGACACAATGGCAGAAATGGTACCTACCGGTCACGATACACGGGGCTAAATATGTTTCTGAGAGTGTTAGAGGCGCGAAGAAGAAATAAAACTAGAGTGTATGCCCGCAGGCGGATCGGATTTCGTTCATTGTCATTGTAATTTCTTGACGGGGCGCAGTTTTCGGGGCGTTACACACCACCGGGGGTATTATCTACAGATGGCTGTTTGTTCGAATGTCACCGTGGCTTATTATATGCCTCGTTACTTGCCCTATGACGGCTTATTTCGCCAGTTTTTCTCTCCTCTCGATTTTTAGACGCGTCCCCCTTTGTGCCATTGTTTCGACAGACGTATTCCGACATTGTGTCGTCGAATTTAGAAAGGTGTATCCAACGCGTGTTCACTTTAACGTGACTTTCTTTTCACTTTCGACGAGATGTGAGATTCTTCTTTTTTTTTATTTAATGTTTAACCCCTAGAATACTGGTTCATTCGGGATCTTACATTTGCCCTTTGTCGAGTTGAAACCATAATAACTGTAGTTCTTGAAATTATAAAAGTGCTGCTCTTCCACCCACGTTCTCGTGGAATCGTTTTGTCTTGGAATATCGAGTAGATTGGCAACAGAAACGACAAATACACATCGACGACACAACGTGCACGTTTCATTTCTCGGAAGCCGGTTATACAATTACTTGCAGCTTGCCTTGGCTCCTTCGTCACTCCTCGACGTGCTCCAGTTTAGCGGTTTAACGTTGCTCGAAGGTATTCGAACGAAATAAATCTTTCTTAGGACTCCGAGCTCCCTTGTATATAAAAAGAATCTTTGAAAATTAAAATCTTTGTCATTCGTCTAAGAAAATTTATAAATATCATCTTGGGTTCAGACTTGATAAACTTAGAATCAGTTTTGATTTTTAATATTTTAATGAATTTTAATCTTGATTCGAAAGAGTACAAAAATTCGTATTTTAGTTCAAATGCAAAGTGTGTTTGATAGTTAGTTGATTGGTTTATTAAAGTAATACTTACGATTCCTGATTTTCTGTGTCTACAAATATTTATTAACAGGTTCTCCGTTATGAGAACTGTTTTTGGTGCACTCTAAACTTCCTACTCATACCACGTCATATTTTTCCTATTAAAGAGTTGTCTATCGCCGACGCGATATCGCGTGATCGGACCTTTAGCCGCTGACGTCTTCAAGTCAGTGAACGTGTTGAATTACCTTCGTTTTTTAATTTTACAAAAGGTAACTTAGTTCGTATATATCACCGAATATAAACGTTCGAATGATTGGATAATAAGTATATAGAAAATCTTCGATCGATGATTCACTCACATTTGATGACTAGGTGTGTATAACTGCTCTAGAAATGATTGCGAATTGCATGTTCGTATTGCAGCATATAATCTGTCATCTGTTGACGTCGACGTTCAGACAGATTTCATACAGAAGCTCTTTTTTCCATTAGAATAAAAATGTTATGAATTTAGCACACTTATTTCAATTATTATACTGTATTTCTTTTTTATTCATATGTTTCTTAATGTTATCAAGAATAATAATTGAATAAAGTCATCTTTCTGTTTTCAATATTACACTTCTAAAATGATAAAATAGCTACATAAATTTTTTTATACACTTCTGTATGTTCAGAAGGATGACTGGCGAATTTAAACAAGTAATTTCTTATTTGCCAGCGACACAAGCAAAGAAATACCGCCGTGTAACGCGTAAAATAGGATAACGAGTTTTTATGCTTAAGAAGTTAGACCACCTTGAATAATTCAGGAAATATTCTTAGAAATTTATCTCTAAGTGACAGGGACACCTTTATTAATCAAATTCATCTAAAAAATACCATAACTACATAGTTTCAAGTTAAGCCAATTTATTTTATAAAAAAAAAGTAAAATAATGATAGATGAATTTCCTGTCGAGTAGGTACTAAGTGATTCATTTATTCCACTTGTTTTATTTACTTTATTTACTATACTTTACTAAATTTTCAAAAATACTCGATAGTCTAATTCTAACTCCAAAATCAGTCGTCCCCGTTGCATATTAAGCCGAGGCTGTATTAGAAATAATTAATCATTCAGAGGAGGCCAGCAAACGGCGCTTCGTTTTTACCACGTTAATGATTTTTCTAATTTGCCCCGGTCAACGGGTGTTCAATTATGTTTCTTCGTTACGGGACCCTTTCTCGGCGATATTACGTGTTGTGCTCTTAAATTACCGGATGAACATAGTGTTCGCGGGCGTTGCCAGTACTGACAGAGCTCGAATTCGAAAATTATGCGCGTTTTGCCGTGTCGATCTGCCTGACTTATGGGCCGTACCGTAATTTACGTCTCACGAAGCACGGACAACGTGTATTTTCAGCATCCGTAGACTCGCAAACTGTGTTTTATTAGGAGGACATTATGTTAATACTATTTTAATCCTCGTTTCCGACGAGGAACATATAGAGACTAAAATTACCTTGGTGGATCGTTTAAGAAAGTTTGGTTTCTTCGAATTATCTCTGTTTTTCTATGTAAAGAAATTTATCATTTTTACACCTTCAGTTTGATTTTTATCCTTGACTTCGAATTCATTGACTTGTTGTGTGATCTGTTACCAATGTGAATCTGAAGAATGAATTTTTTTGAAGAATGTTTAAAGGTATCTTTTATTAGATTAATTCAGGAATAGATCATCTTCAGAATTTTTATTTAATCATAGAGTTAAGAACCTTGAACGCTATTAAAAATAATAAAAAATATTTTTTGCTAATAGATAACATTTTTATTAAGTTTTTGTCGAACCATAGAAAGAAGAATATTTAGCTCTATAATATACAGTTTTTTAAAAATAAAATTCTAGAGATAAGAAATCCTTATTTTCAACTATTTTATTTATACCCTTAATTTGAAAAATTTGAAGCTGAATATTCTTTCTATATTTCTGTAACTTTTAATGTACAGAGAATTTTCTATCAAGTAGTTGGAATCTTATGCACATATCTTAGCAATTTAATTATATTGGAGAGCTGGTTATAATAGTACAACAAGAACTTGTTCTCAATGAAACTATTTCTATGCATCCTTTCCTGCTGGATCATATTAGAACTAATACATTATTAATACCTAGCTTTATATTAGAATTCTGTTTGCATTATTTGATCTGTTTGCATTATTTGATCTGTTTCGAAGAGAACAAAAACTATTAACGAATCGTATATAAACAATCACTTTTATGTTCATTGAGGAAAATTAGAGAATACTTAGTCTCTAGTTCCAGCCTCTTAGAGAAATTCAAACGTCTCCAACAGCTCTATAATCGTAGAGTACATCCTACAGAATATCCGGTAAATCGATTTCAATCGAATGAACCGAAAGAAAGGGTAATAAGTGGTATTTCATATTTTTCCGTTCGAGAGGAGCGGAACTGTTGTGCGAACACATGGAGGGCGTCCACCATCTTTATGTAAGGGTAGCTAACCTCCTAAAATCAACCCCCTAATGAAATTAACGAGGA